AGGGGGAGAGTTGCAGGAGGCAGCTGATCGATGTTTCTCTCTCATCGATGTTTCTAACTCTCTCTCTCTCTCCCTTCCTCTCTCTGTAAAAAATCAATAAAATATATTTTTAAAAAAAAGAAAAAAGAAAGGATGTGGGGTTTTAAAGGCTGCACTGTTCTAAGGTGGGTCATGTAAGGCAGGTAACTGGTTGGGATTGGGCAGAACTTATGACATAAGAGCTTTGGATTGGTGGGTCCAGAAGGGCAAGCGCCTTGAAGTGAGTCTAGATGAGCAAGTTTTCTATTTTAATAAGTAAAGTGTGTCACTGGTTCCATCTTATCTTAACAGCAGGCATTTCCCAGAGCAAGCAGGTAAATTATTACTTGGCGCCAGTATTATTAAATGCAGATAGAAGAGTGTGTTGCTTTCAATTCTTTTTTTTTCCATAGAGAAGGGATCATACTTTATCCCACCTACTATATTGAAACTTGCCTTTTTATTTAACAACATATCTTGGATATCCTTCCTTATCAGAACTTATTGATTCATTTTACTTTTTTGACATCTGCTTGATATTCCCTTGTGTTGTGATTTGTTCGCCCTCTCACATACCAGCGCGTGGGGTGCGTGTAGTGGGCTGGTGGGCCCAGGCCCTGAGCACAGTGCCTGGTCCGGAGGAGGCACTCGGGAAGGGTTTGTTATTGAAAGGAGAGTGCGGCTGGAATCTGTAAAATGTTGTATCCTTGTAAGGTATGGTGGATGCTTGGGTTCCCCCATGACGGCATCTTATCCCATCCCTGTTTTGTCACTTGTGTTATGATGCATCTCAGACTCGGAAGGATCCAGAAATCCCTATGTGCACCCAGCAAGGAATCGGGGAGACTGCTGGGATGTATGCGAGACAGTGAGCCTGCGGAGCAGTAGGTACCTGAACAGGCTGGATGGAGGATGCAGCTGAGATTCAGAGGGGCTGGGGTGCCAGGAGAGAGGTGTTGGCACTGAGTCAGTGCAGGCAAGTCTTAGGAACTCATGCCATATAGATGCCACTGACCAGGCAGGAAAAGGGACACCTTGTGACACCAGCAAGGACCTCTTCCCACTGCCACCAGGACATTCCCCTACATCCAGAGATCATTTTCTGAAGGAGGATGCCAAGGAGCAAATATTTTAAAAAAAAGCAGTCCCTGTAGGGGTTTTAAATTGATAATCAGACACAACATTTATGAAAAAAAAGCTGATACAAAATGAAGATGTCGTTTCTCAATGAAGGATAAGAGTCTAATAGGGGGCATTTGGAAATAATGGGGCATTTCCTCCCACTTTTTTATTATGAAAATTTTCAAACAGAAAAGTAAGAAAAATAATTGAGTACATATATCCACCACCTAGATCTCTCAGTTGTTAATGTTTTCTCCTTTGAGCATAATTGTTTCATCTCTTTTTTTTGGAAGTAGTTTAAAGTAAATTACAGACATCCTGACATTTCACCCCAAATGCATCTCTGAAAAATAAGAGCTTTTCCCTGCATAATGTGGAGGCGTTCCTGGTTGACCCTGGGAGTGCTGCTGGCACTTACGTGGGCGAGGGGCAGGGAAGCTAAATGCCCTGTAATGAGTGCTCTACGTCAGCTCCAGGAAGAATT